GAGTTCTTTCAGAGAAGCTTGAACTTCTTCCTTCATCATTACAGGCTCTTGCTCATGTATTGTTTTGTGGCTTCTTCTGTGTTCACCAATTCCATTTGGTACAATAACTTTGTATACTCCTTCCATCTTCTTTTAATGCTTCCTTGATCATTTAATATTCTACCCAGAACATCCTTACATATTGCAACTTGAGACTTGAATTTGTTCTTCAGTTCCTTTAGCTTAAGAAATACTTAGCAAATTCAGCCCCTCTGATTTTCTGATTCTGGCTCTTTGCACATTTCATTATACTTTGCTTTGTCCTCCCATGATGCCCTTTGAAATTTTCTGTAGGACTGTTGTACATAGGGTTACTATGAGTCGCAGGTGACACAACAGCACATAACAATAACAACAATCTTAGGGTTCGTAGTGCAGCTTCTTAGTGATTAGGCCACTAGTGCTCCCTTTTCATATGAAGATAAAATTTCTTTAAAGAAACAGCCTCAAACCCCATATTATATAATATTATTTTTGGCTATTCCATATACAAAGTTAGAATTCAAGAAAGAAGTTCAATCAAGTGAGAGAAAATTTGATGTGTATCAGGAACCCACAAAGCTTTTATAAAGGGCCAGGTAGTAAATATTTTAGCTTTATGAACCATTCATTAATTGTAATACTCTGCTTGTAGCTTACAAGCAGCCATAAATAACATTTACATGATTAATCATGACTGTGTTGTAATAACATTTTATTTACAAAAATAGTATGACTAGTTTGGCTCAAAGATTATATTTGCTGGTCTTTTGTTTATACTGAAAATGAAATTCAGTTGAGATCAAAGCAAGTTTCTTCAAACAAACTATTAAGGTCTTTGATGAATCTTAGAATCTCTGACTTTCAGCCAGGGAGCTCAGTTTCAGAGGAAATTGTTACTCTTGGGACATTCATTGTATGTTATACTACTAAGCAGAGGATCAGTGGTTCAGACTCATCAGCTCTTGCAAAGGAGCAAAGCTGACAGTTGACTCACTTAAAGGTTGACAGCCTTGGGAATGCAGTGGAATGTTGCTGTGAGTAGGCTTAGATTTGATGGCAGTGGATTTCATTCCTGGGTATAACTCTTATACTGTTGTTGGGTGTTGAGTCTAGTTTCTCCATAGTGACTCCGGAGAACTGCCCCATCATGTTTTCTAGACTGGTGGCATAATGCACAATGTTATTCTGCACAAAAAAGAATTTGCTAACACAGAAGAATTTCATGAAATGACATATGATCAAGAGGCAATGGTGATGAAGGAGGAAATTCAAGCTGCTCTGAAGGAATTAACAAAAAACAAGTCCCCAGGAATTGATGGCATGACAGTTGACATAGTTCAACATCCATGCTTACCAGGTTGTGGCAAGAAATCTGGAGGACAACTATCTGGCCAATGTATCCATATTTATTCCTATGTTCCCAAAAGGTGATCTGACAGAGTGTGGAAATTATAGAACAGTATCACACACAAGTAAAATCCTGCTGAAGATTATCCAAAAACAACTGGAATAGTACATTAACAGAACTACCAGAAATATAACCTGAGTTGAGAAGAAGCTATGGCACTAAAGATATTATCGCCAATGTCAGATGGATTTTAGCTGAAAGCAAAGAGTACTGGAAGAATGTTTGATTGTGCTTCATTGACTAAGCAAAGACATTTGACTGTGTAGATTACAACAACATTTTAGTTAACCTTGAGAAGAATGGGAATCCCAGAATACTTGATTGTGCTCATGAGAAACCTATACTTGGAGCAGGATTCAGTTGTCAGAATAGAGCAAGGAAACATACTACATGGTTCAGTATTAGGAAGGGAGTGTGTCAGGGATGCGTCTTGTTTCCATACCTTTTCACTCTAAATGCAGACAGATCAAGAGACTGGACTTTATGAGGAGGAATGTGGCATTAGGATTGGAGGAAAGTTTATCAGCAACCTATGTTATGCAAGTGATACAACTTTGCCCCAACTGAGGAGGACCTGAAGCATTTGTTGCAGAAGGTCAAGGACTGTAGTCTTCAATATGTATTGAAGTTTTAATATCAACAAGACAAAGATTCTCACCATTGGGCCAATAGGTAGCACCATGATAATGGGGAAAAGATTGAGGTTGTTAACAATTTCAGCTTCCACAATAGTAGTAACAGCTTTTCCAGGTTCTGCAGTCATCAGAACGAAAATAATGGAGACATCCAGCATGTTGTTGTTGTTGTT